ATTCCCAGCTGGGGAATTCTGGGAGTTGAAGTCCACACATCTTAAAGTTGCCAAGTTTGAACACTGATGTAGAATCGATGTCATCTCCTCCAGCCTCCAGATCTGTTTGAACTACTGAGGAACGTGCCTGGTTGCAAAGCTGCTGGCTGCTCCCCCATTCTCTGTTACACTTCCCAAGTGCTGTGGAATGCTTCAGAGGATAGGTCGCGTGACAACAGGAAGGCTCAGCCGCTTAGCAATCACTCAGATATTTGGATGGTGGACAAAAGCATGCAGTATGAACACCAGCCACGGGGTGGAATGTCAGCAATTCATTTTACTTCTGTTTTGGGCGGCAGGATGGCCAGGCTATGTTTTCTAGTTCCAGGAGCTTGGCTGAATGCTGCTTTATTTTTTCCAGCCCCACAGAATATTGGAAGGAAATTAGATAAAGGGGCTTAGGACTCCACCGGTCTATACATCAGCAGGAAAACTCTCCAAAAACTGAACCGAGGGGGACCACGTTTAGGAGGGTGGGAGAAACTCGCAAAAGGCTACCATAGACTAATAACTTTTCATTTACCATCTATTCCTTGGAATACGTTCTTTAATTAAGAACACTGTTTTCTTGTAATTTAATTAGTATTTATTCTTGTTTCTGTTGTCAGCTGCCCAGAGTCGCTCTTTGAGTGAGATGGGCGGTGACTAAATCTGAAATATAAAGAAATAAAAGAAACAGAAGAAAGATTGAGTTTGAAAAATGGTCCTGTCTGGTTGGGGCTGGGGAGAAAAACGTTCCAGAAAACATCTCCCCGGTGCATCCCTTGTTCCATTCCAGCCCGCTCCTCCTTGCTTCCTTCCCCCTTGCCTCTCCTGTCCGAGAGGGTTGGGAAGAATCCCCAACGCCGAACTCAGCCGCTTTCCCCCCCTTGTTTGTACTCTCCAGAGGTCAGCTGGGGAGAGCGCAAACTGGTTCACGGTATTCTCTGCAGCTCCCAGGATCTTGTGGCTAACAGAAGAGAGCGCGATCGCGGGCCAGCTCCAAACTGCTTTGGAGGGATGGAGTCAAACAGTGCCAGCGTGGACGCGGCTCCAAATCATGATTTAACAATTTCGATTTTCAGGACTTGCTGTTTTTAAAACGTCACATTCCGATGAACCACTCTACACTCGTGTTTAGGTCAGAAAACTATCATTAATCGACAGTGGCGGCTATCTTATCATTTTGGACCATTCTCCGTCTTACAAGCGTGTGGCACAAAACCAACTTCAGAGTTTCCGGAGGAATCAAGCACGCAGACGTTGAGAGCTCAGCCGGCTCAGCTGCCCGCCAGGCAAAACCGCCGCCCGCCGCT